CACGGCTGATTTTGATTGCTACGATCAAGGTCAAAGAAATGATATAATGATATGATAAGATTGTATGTCTTAAACAATTCACTCTCTACTTCTCCTATGGTCTCTCCAAACAACCTTTGCAACTTAAGTTTGATGGCCCAAAGGTTTGTCAGTCTAGAAATATATATGGGCTGACATACATGTACTGTCACTCTGTACACCCACACATACACTGGGATCAATGTGAATCTCATACAGGGGAATAATGTTATATCTTTATATTTGTATATCGATATGTATTAGGATCTCTGATAGACCCCTTGCTTCACCCCTTCCCTCAACCCCACTTTTATATTTAACCCTGTTTATAAATCATATTGCCCCATTTGCACCTCTCGACCCATCTCATTCATTGGAAACAGAATATAGTATTTATGTTAAGAATGTCTAAATGCATTCATTGTTTGTTTTGTTCATTATGGCCCTCTAGCTTATACCTCAGTTTGTCTGTCTGTACCATGATGACACTTCTTGGGATGGGCCATAAGATTTTAGGGATCTCATTCTGATTCATAAGAGTCTCTCTTTATTATGATGTCACCACCAGAAGTGGTCACATATTGTTATAGTGTCTAACTTTTTGTTGACACTGGTTGATGTTTGGCATCTGTAACAACATTTGGTATCTAACAGTGGGCAGCTGTACCAAATGGCAGGTGGTGACATTTTGCATGTTAATGCCTTGTCTAAAGCTTCCAAAGGATAGAACAGACTATGGATCCCACAACGTATAGATCTAGCTTAACAAAATATCTTTTTGTGTAATATGTAAAACATGGAAAGGTTTGAATGAACAAATATATGCAAATAAATTCGACGTTAATAGTACAAACACAAAAGTGTCTCTTCGTAATGCAAAGGTGAAGAAGAATAGTTAAACAAGTTGAATTGTATTAAAGTAACAAGAGACACAGGGTGGTCAGAAACACACCTGATAGGCCTTCATAGTGAACCCTGCCCCCTTGTATTGCACCAAAGAAACAAGGATATATTACCCAGATATGATGTCAAAGGTTGTAGATAGCGATGTTTACAGACAGAATTCTTAAGTTTTTTTTCAAAATTATCAATTAGTTAATCCTATTTTTATTTCGAAGCAGTGCCACATACGACCGAAATCATATTGTGGTACAAATTTGTCTCATCCCCTCATCAATCCCCTCATCCCCTCCTCAATGTTTCATCCCCTATTTGCCAAGATAGTTTAGCATTAACCAAATATTAACATAATATTGGAGAAATAGGAGAATCATAGCATTTGTATTTTGATACAATTATGATCTTTAACTTATGGGTGTATATTGTTAAATTATTTATTGTTTCATTGAGGAAGTTGTTGACAATGTTGTTGTAGTGGGAATCATGTCTCAGTGCAGGCTTTGAAAGAAGAGGGTCATGTATGCTAGTATGTAGGGATCAGTATGACCCTTGAGTAAGAAGAATGCCATGTCTATTGAAAGCCTATGCTGTAGTATAACAAAAAAATAAATTATCAATCTCAGGAATTCTAAATTAACGTTAAGGGACTGTGCTTTGGGGTTACATTTTAATCTATTGACTTTGAGTTGGGTCATAAAACGTTTTCCTGAAGGTAAGGTTTTATTGATTCCGTAAATGATATAAAATAAACGTAAACATGTTCTTGTGAGAAAATAAAGCCTTATACTGTATTATGAAGTTATAAGGAGATATAGGCTTTCTCTCCATCACAAAAATTCAACAGTGCCTCACGTATCAAAAATAAATCTATTATGTGTTTGCATGTGTAATATATAACTTATGAATGTCATACAGCCCCCTGTTTTTTACCTAATATAAGATATGCATCTGAAAAGACATATTTATTCCCCAAAGGTGATGAAGGTGCATTATGCATAACTCCATTAACATCTAATTTGATATATTAACTGCAACTTAACAGCATAGCTGCAGGCAGTGTCATTAATATAAATAAAAAAGGTGCAACTGTTTTGAAAATAAGTAAAATTGTTTATACCTTAAATTGAATCATTATCTCAAGTGGTATCATATATTTAAATACTGCAGTACCACTTGTGTCATATAAATGTATCTATTACATGTACATGTATATTATATGTGATATCGGCTACATGGTTATGATTGTGGGGGTGGTTCATACACATTAAGTACTTAATGAAATGAGGTCAAATGGTTTAAAATATAGGTCATTGTTTAGTAGTTTACGACAGTGTCAAAACAACATATACATTTACGAGTATGTGTATAATATGTATACACCTGTACAATCCCTTAAGGTAAGGGCACAAGAGGTCATAACTTTTGACACTGGACCAGGTGTAGCTAGGATGTGGTGGTAGTGATTGCTCCATCATTCTTTGGGGAAAATAAATAAGATGGTCTCTGTTCCATACTCTATGCTCATTATCATTAGGACAAATTGGCTTAAAGGTTCCCCTTTGATAAACAGTAGGCCAGAGCCTAGGTAAATTTTCTCCTTTTGGAGATGGTAGGCCCAAACCTGGACTAGTCTCCCACTTGGGAGGCAAAAGACCAGAACTTAAGTAAGTTTCTTATTCATATACAGGCTAGAAGCTCTGTTGAGTCTCCCCTGTGTTAAAATAGGCTAGAGAGTAGGTAAAACGTCTCCTTTAGGAGGTGATAGTCACAAAGCTCTCCATCAGGAGACAATGGGGCAGGCCCTGGGTAAAGCTGATCCTCTGAATGGGAATGCTGTTAAACATGGGGTAGACACTCTTTTTGGAGACAAAATCCGATTTTATATTCTCAAAAATACTTCAGTTTTTTCAAGCAAAATGTTAAGTACCTTTATAAACAGGATGTCAACACAAATGAGTGTCAGCAAAATAATAAATGAAAAAAACATTTACAGCAAAAACCATAAAACGTGGAGTCCATTTAATGAACATCTGGCTTGGTTTCGACTGTGAGAGTATCATTACAAAATATTGAATTTGAAAGGTATAAGTCAGTAAGTCACTAAGTGAAGTTTAAGTGACCATGTTAAACCACATTCTGTTTATTCTCACCAGAAAAAATAAATATCCGTCTTTTCTAAAAACAGATATGGGGCATGTACTTGTTGATTTTCTGAGAACCTTTTTGGCCTCTTTGAAACGAAACATATGTACGAACACTTAAGCATGGATAGCAATTTATAAAACATGGCCAGATTTTGTGGGAATGTTTTTTTAGGTGAATTATAATTCAAAGATCTATTGGCGAGTTGTGTGATTTATCTGGAACATTTATATAATGAGAGAACAGCACTTCACACTTTTAAAGAGTCATGACAGTCACTTCCTGACCTTATTTTGAATGTTTTACATGTGGGAATTATATTATATTAATAGTGCATGATTTAATTGATGCTTGTCATGGAACATTAACACTTGAATAGATATATGTGCTTGTCATTTATGCGTGCGCGCGCAGCTCATCCAATGAACGAAACGCCACTTCCCGCTGAAATCACCGGGTATTGATCTTTCCCTTGATAGAACTAGGAAAATCATTATATGTTAAATCCACCTGTTGGATTTATATATAGGTTTTTATTTAGATATGACATCAGAGATTGATTTAATATGACACCACCTGACATTATTTCGACCTTTAGCGATTATTTGATTGAAGTTGAATGATGGTAAGAGGATATAGAGAACTTGAATGAATTGGGTCAATCAGTTGTCTCTTTGATCAATAGATTACTAAACAGTGATTTACATTGGTTTGCAATCACTTATTGGTTGTCCCAACAAATTCAACAAATTGATTAGTACACTTGTAAAACCAGACTTGATTTTGTTTATCAAACAATAAAGACTATCGTTTTCTACAGAGTATGTTTAGTTGGCGATCTGTTGAAAAGGCATAAAACCCCCTCAAACAATATATACAGTACTCACAAAGTAAAACATGGTTCTTGCCATTTGCTGGTTTTGCAAGGTATGAGAATTAAATCTCTGATTTTTTCATTTTTTGGTTCAACTTGACTAAATCCCCTAATACCCCCCCCCCCCCTCCTGTAGACCCCCTCCCCCTTTATGCAGTGCAGCTGCAGACCCATGTTTTTCATTTCCTTCCTTTGGTGAACAAATAAATCAGAAACCAAGTGTGACAATGATGTGATGATTATAGAAAAACAAATCTCACTAAACCATATGAATCTATTGAACCAATCCAGTCCATAAAACATTGATATATGATATCAGAAATATATTCAACATGATCCAGAAATGATTTCAGAGAAGAGATAAACTTGTTTGTTCATATTTTGGAACAGCATGGTATTATATTGTACAATGTCATGATGTTTTATGACTTCCTGATAAGGCATTGATAAAAACTTTCCTTGGTTATGCTGGATTTCTTATTATTATGTCGCTTTTATTCCTGTAATCAAATGGATTTTACATTTGACTTATACAGTGTTCTCCATGGAATCTTTTCTCAAGTGGATGCAAGATTCTCATTTTCACAATTTAGTCCAAAATGTGACAAAATATGCCAATTTTTTAAGTTGGATGTGAGCCTGATTTTAAAATCTCAAGTGGGCGCTGTACCTACTTGCTTTAATGCTGGGGAGATCACTGATATAAACACATCAATTTACCTCAAAGAAATATCTATTAGATATTTATCCACTCAAAGACATTGATATTATCACTCTTTCGCTCCACTCATTCATGAAGATTTCAATATCTACTCATAGATATCAATGGTGGATCCAGAAATTAACAAGGGGGATCCAAATTTTGAGTCAGGAAAAAAAATTTGGACCCTTCAAACCAAAGATTGTTTGATAAATTGGCCCAAAAAAGGCCTAAAAGGCCCATTTTTTGAGCCTCTCCCCAAGAGAAACTCTACTCATACTCCCAGGGACATACTCCCTACACCCCTAACTCTACAGATCTGCGCCTTTTATAATCTAATGGATTTCTATATTTTGTCTGTTGCAGGTGAACTATGGGTTAAAGCTGACAATTTACAGCCGAGCTGATGTTTCTGCCAAACACGTATGCCATTCATAAACCCAAATATGATCTACGTGTAATCTGTGTCTGATACGTGCACGATTAAACTGCTAAATATACAACTACATATTATTGAATAAAACTGAACTGAAAAGAAACTAGATATTCAGCCAAACAATAGAAAATATCCAACCAAACATACAGCAAAACCAGCAGTCTTGCAATGATTAATCCCCAGGGATTTATCAATGGAACTCTCTCCCTTATTGATGTGTGATCTGGAAAGAAGACAATTTGTTCTTATGTTTCCACAATTGATGTTTTATATGGAAAGAAAATGTTATTTGTGATAAACACTGAATTGAATGAAATAGAATGGAATATAAGTGGTGATATTTGTACAGAAACTTAAAGTCAATTGCATAAATCAGTGAAATCAACTCCTGTTTAAATATTAGTGTTTTCAGAAAATAAGACTCCATAGTGTAAGCAGTACTATGTGATTTACTGGAACTTTATCTGTATATCACCTTGAATCACCCATTGTGTACCTGGGGCATTCAAAAACATTTTAGTGATTATTTATTAGGAGTTTTTGAACACTCCATAGCTAACACCAGTTGTGTGTTTATTGAATGGATAAGATATTGAAGATAAATTGTGTATGTGTTTTATCTACCATCCTTTCTGCTTGTTGCCGGGTTTCAGCCTGAAGGATGTAAATAAATTGTTTTTTTCTGACAAGAAAAACTAAACAAATAAGAGACTCTATTTTGAAAGATAATATATGGCTAAATGACAATCTGCATCATATTAGATTGTACAACTCATAGAGGCTGTTCTTTGTATCACTCATATTTACTCTGACTTGAGAAATTTCTTTGTAAATTATATTGTCTCATTAAAAAGAGAAAAGTCTAAAAAAAACTGATTTGATTTATCACTGTCATCTTTCTCTCTTTCTGTTCATCAATTATACTTGTGAGGAAGTGGAGGGTATTGCGATTTGCATGCCATTGAAATAATAGACAAACATTGTTATTTTGAAATTATCATTACAATTAAGTGTGTCAGTCAAATTTTAAGCTTTTTTACTTGAGAGTACATGTGATTGATATTAGACTAATGAGCTGAGAGGAGACTGAAGTCTACTGGTTACTCAAAGGGATACTCTGAATTGTCTTGAAGTGACAGTTTGATTCTTCTGTTGCCTAGATCTATAGGCCAGTTAGATACTCTGGCCATCACATCAAGTGGCCACTCATCCAACCTAACTGAACATAACATACATGTATAGTCCCTCATACAAGCCCGAAAAACCATTAAGATTTTGTCAAGCTTGTAACTGAACTGCCTTGTATACAGTACTATATACATACGCATAGGCATAGCCTCCCCCCCATAACCAATAAAAATAATCATTAGATCATAAGATATATAGAAAAAGAGCTTTAAAATGCTTTTTATTTTAAGCTTCTAGCTCAATTTTGAAGGAAGTTACATCAATTTTTGTAAAATTCTAGATAAATGTTTAATTTTTTTTGGGCTCACTTATGCCACGATCGCACCCCCACCCCTGACTGAAAATCAAAAATAATTGGCGATAGCACCCCCCTGACTGAAAAAAGCCACGTTCATGCATACAGATCTTTATGTAACCAAAGGCTTAGACAGAAGATGCATTGAACTTGTAAAAGTACACAAAGAGTTCTAGATTGTATGTTGCCTGTCATGGATTGCTGAACTATTTATTTTAACATCAGTTTTACATTTGCTCTACAGTGACGACACATCGACCATAATTCTCTGAAATCAGTAAATTTCTGCGGCAACATTATATAATAAATGCATTCATTACATGATTCTGTGTTTTTGGCTTGTTTTTAATTTTGGGAAAAATTGCCAATTTGTGAGATTCTTCAGCCTTTCTTGTAGCAGATATTTTTGTTCCCTTCGTTTTAATGATTTATCGTGTAAATAAACTTGGCTTATTTGGCAGGCATGAAAGGGTGGCCCCTTAACATATTTTCAGGATTTAACAGAACTGAAGCTTGTGATTGATGAATTCTAAATAAAATACTTTTCGATGCAATTAAGAGACCAGCTCAATATATGGCTGCAATTCTATTAATGTAATGAATTGAATTTCAGTTTAGCCCCATCCTCCACCCCCACCCCTCACACCCAAAATTGCTACTTAACATTTAGTGATTGATCATACTAGTCGATACATGCAGATAAAATGTAATGGATCCCTCTCGAAATCTAATTTATTACGTATGTGGGTGTACAGGTATTTAGCCATGTGATTGACCTTGTTCCTAAATCCAGTTGTAAGGTCAAAGTAGTTGACCATTAACATGATTAAAGGACAAAACATATTTAGAAATGTTTTGAATTAATCATTGATATTGAGATGAGTTATTGAGATGATCTTTTTATCAATGATATACTTTTTGTTGAAAATTAGGTTTGAAATTCCTTTTACTTTTCGAAAGATTTAGTTACATTAATCAATTAAAGCATCATATAAGGCCAGATCTACATCATGTGAGAAGCATAAGAAATTATATCAGAAAATAGCAGAAAACTTCTCATACCAGAAATCATAAAGCCCATCAAATCATTATAACAATTATTATTTTTATGGTGCATCAGCTTGGAAAATGGAAAAAAGCACCATATTAGGGCATATTAGGTTGAGCAAAATGTTAAGTGCATATTAGGTATACAACATGTTTACTTTCTAAATAAGCCAATGATTAGCTATCTTCACATAAAGGCTTTCATATTGTAGCCATTCTATTTTTTTGATTTCAAAATAATTTTTTATTCAGGAGAGAGACATTTGTTGAATATATCATGCCTTACTTGACTTGTAATTAACCAATTGATATGCTTATATGGGACTCAGGACTCCGAGGGACAACAAAGTTTATCAGTCAGTATTGCTACTTTCGGATATTCCTAAGGATGTTTTGAGTTTATTGCATTTTATCACATTAGTATTCAGAACTTAGATTCATGAAAACGAGCTTTTCGAAATATTTCCTCAATGCATACACCAAAGTTTGAATTTGACATTAAAAAATAAGTTTGTATTAAGACTAAACATGAAAAAGTTGACCATTTAATATTGGACTGAGGCACTATTTAATTAGACAGCCTCACAAAGAATTCTGTAAAAAAAGTTTTTCCCACAAGGCATTGGTATAAGTATAAATTGAGAAGATTGATATTTTTGACAGTGATTGGCTTGGGGTTATCTTAAATAGTCAAGTTATTCATTATTCAGATTTATTTAACCTTTGAGAAAAGCACAAGTAGAGCCTATAATTTAGCATTCTAATTTGTATTATACTTGTATTTATATTTCAAAGGCTGACTTCAAATAACATTATATTAATATTTCACTTGAGTCTACTTGCCTTAAATTCAGGAATATTTTGGTTCAAAATAAGATAAGATTTGCAATGAATGTAGGTTCTATATTTGCCATGTTAATCTTTCGGAAAGTATTTGAATTCCACCTAAGACTTGACAGTTTGTATCTTGGCTTATCAGTTATATGGTGAAATGCTGGATTCATACTGTTGAGTTTTTATTTTATTGTTATAGACGCCAACTTTTTTGTGGATGGTGTTCAGCAGTTGGTGGAGGTGTTTTGTGGTTGGCATCTTTAACAAATGGCATGTGGAGACATTTTGCATGTTAATGCCAAGTGTTATTGTATTAAACACAATGATGTCATTGTATTTTACATATAGTAAACCCTTACTACGGCAAATGCTTTTGATTTGAGTTCAGTTTGATCAAGTGTTCACATTGAGAGGTATCCTCATTAGGACAAGTACATAGTTGCCAATGGGATATCTACAAGTACAAATTGATTGTAAAAATAGAATTAACTCTAATTTGAAGTGTTCATTTTAGCGAGGTGTTCACTGTTTACATATACATGGTTTACTGTATATAAATGAAAACCTGTCTTTGCAAACACTTCTCTAGTGAACACCTGTATCTAGAACTTACTGACATCTGTATAAAAGCCACTAATTGTATCTACATGAACACTCCAGTTCCAGTGGTATTCACATGCATAGATTTAACTGTATATTCCCTATTAATACAACTATCATGTCTAGTTCCCTCCACTTCGAGACAGTAAGACCTGTAACCTGGTAATATATTTTTGACACTTCCAGGGCTTGGTCTGAGGGGTCATTCTAACTTTCCAAGGATCAATAAATCATCAATCAGGACGTGACATTTAAGTTGAGACCATTACTGCCAAATCATTTATAATTGAAATCAACTTGTTTGTGTGGCATCATTAATTTATCGCATTTCAGACAGTCTACTTTATTACATGAACACCACATGATGTTTTACTCAGTTTGGAAATAGCATTGGGTAGATTGGCAAGTCTGTATTTTGAGCTATTTTTTTGAGCTATCAGTGGCATGAACCGAGTGAGGCAGGCGAGGCAGCCTTCACATACAACCAAATTTTACAGAAAATTATGTATATAGACATTTCTGCAACTGAAAAAGTCCAATGATATTATCACCACCTCAAGTTGTTATAGTCTCAAATTTTTTTTGGTTGTCGGTTGAGTCCGGAAGTTGTCATTCAGCATTTGGGGTTCAGCATCTTAAACAAATGGCAGTTGGTGACATTTTGCATTAATGCTTTGTTATATTTGACTTCACCTCATCTTTTTCAATTTGCCTCACCTAGAGAGGCAATCTGCAAAACCCATTGTTTAGAAGCACTAGCTGGGGATCAAGACAACACAGATTAATAAATAAACTTGGCTGGGCTTAAACTGGTTGAACTAGTACAATGCATACTAGGTAACCTTTTATTCAAAGGGATGTCAGCATTGACAAAACAAGAGCACTAGTTAACCTGTAATATTCAAATATATAGAGAGTTGGTTCATAGGCCATCATACATGGGATTCCCTCAAAGTAAATCTCACATAATGATAAATCTACATCTTTGTTCTGTTGTTTGATCTATGGTATCTGTATCAAAGATACATGTTCTGTTGATTTTGATAAATGTGAATCAGCTCTCATCCAGTAGGCATCACTAACGTGAACCATTTGACATTTTGATGCCAAAAATAAAATACACAAGTCAGGAAAATCTAACTCTAACTGTGTTATGTATT